CTAGTGATATGGCCTGTGATTTGGCCAATTCACTTCCATGTTTAAGTATCAATTCTCCCAGTAACATTCCGCACCTCACTGATTTAGATGCTGACCTAAACATGCCTTTGGAAAACAATTTTTGTTTCTATAGTACTCATGATTTTCATAGTAATTATGACATCAACGAGTGGTCAATCTTTTTCTTTGATTAATTGTAATTTATTAGAAGCCTAATCATGATAAATTGTCAAACATGTTATCAAAGCTATATTTTCCTTTCTCACTAATTGGTCTTACTGAAATCAAACAGAAAATTGATCAGCCTCCTATATCTATAACACTGACTTATGTGGATATCAGTATCTCTCCCAGCCAAGCCTTTCCAATGCTGGGGGAGTTGCTTTCTACGTAAAAAATAACTTAAATTTTAACATAAGACCTGAATTTACAATCACTGCTGATGATTTTGAAGCCTTATGGATTGAGGTACATAATAATTCTTATTCAAACTTACTTTGTGGAATAATTTATAGGCGTCCAAATGGTGACTTAGAAATATTTATTGAATATGTGAGCTCCACAACTGATAGAATTAATCAGGAAAACAAAACTTGTATAATTATGGGAGACTTTAACATAGATCTTTTGAAATTTGAATCACACTGACAGCAACTGATGGTTTCCTTAACACTCTGGGTTCTAATATTTTTCAGCCCTATATAATGCAACCAACAAGAATAAAAAATCATTCAGCAACTTTAAGTGATATTTTTTTCAACTCAATTGAGCATTTTACAATCAGTGGTAACAAAGTGTATGATCTCTCTGATCACCTTCAAATTTCCTAATAAATTTTCATCACTTCCTTGCAGTGTTAAAATATTGTAAAGAGATTACTCTAAATTTGATCAGCAGGCCCTCATTAGTGAGATTCAATTAATTGACTGGGAAACTATTTTTGTATCCAATGATAGTGCATGCAATATGTTTAAATCTTTTTACTTTAAAATATGTAGCATAATCAACAAATATATACCAGTCAAACAACTATCTAGGAGGGAAGTAAAGCTTAAATCAAAACCATGGATATCTAAAGCTCTACGAAAGTCTATTCAAATTAAAAATAATTATTATAAGAAATACCTTAAGACAAAATCTACCTATTACCATACAAAATTTAAGCTTTACAGGAACAAATTAAACCATCTTCTAAAAATAAGCAAAAACAATATTATAATGAATATCTTTTTCGAAACATTAAGGATGGCAAAAGGATCGGGAAAGGTATTAAGCAAATAGTAAAATTTAAGCCACAAACTAGCCAAAGGCTCATTAAGATTGTAGAAAACAACTTAGAAATAACTGAACCTAAACTTGTTGCCAATGCATTTAATGATTATTTTGCCAATAATGGTAATAACCTAGAAAGTGAAATACCAAGTGTATCCAATAACCCAATGGTATATCTGAATAATCCGGTATGTAATAGTTTTAATTTTTTTCCTGTAACTTGTAGTGAAATTGAAACTGAAATATCTAAGTTAAAAACTCGCAAGTCTGTAGGGCCATTCAGCATTCCAATTGATATAATACAAATGCTAAAAGCCTATATATCAAAACCTTTGGAGATAGCTTTTAATGCTTCTTTTTTAACTGGAGTTGTTCCCAGTGATTTTAAAATAGCAAGCATTGTACCTGTGTTCAAAAAAGGACCACAGTCATCCTTGTGCAATTACCGTCCCATCTCCCTTATCTCTGTCTTTTAAGTAAGCTCCTAGAAAAACTTGTATATAATAGACTAATAAAATTCTTAGAAAAAAACAGTCTTATTTGAAAACCAATATGGTTTCAGAACTAAGCACAGTACTGACCATGCAATTCTTTGGATAAGTGACAAAATTCAGAAAGCAATTGATGATCGAAGCTATTCCTGTGGTATATTCCTTGATTTTACCAAGTGAAAGCATTTGACACCGTCAGTCATCAAATTTTGATTAACATTTACTAGAGTATTACGGTATTCGAGGTCTTGCTAAAGTTTGGTTTATTTCCTACGTCAGTGGCCGATGACAAGTTGTTACTGTCAGTAATGCAACATCAACAAAATGTAATGTAAGTTGTGGAGTACCACAGGGATCAGTACTTGCCCCTCTGTTGTTTCTACTATAATATGTAAATGATTTTCATTGTTGCTCAGATATCTTTGAATTTCATCTCTTTGCAGATGATGCGAGTTTGTTTTATAAAAGTTAAACTTTCTCTATCCTAGAATCAAACATAAATGTTGGATTAAATAATAATTTATTCACATATGGCTCTGTGCTAATAAGTTCTCACTCAATGTAGAAAAGTCAAATTTTGTAATTTTCCACGCACCTCAAAAGAAACTTAAATGTCAAAATTTGATGCTGGCTATAAATAATAAGCAACTTAATCGAGAGTTCTGTATAAGGTATCTGGGCATCCTAATTGATTCACACTTGAACTGGAAACACCTTGTTGAATGCATTGTTAAGAAAATTAGAAGAAGCACTGGTATCCTCTCTAAACTTCGTTATTATGTTGGCCTAGATATTTTATTAAGCTTATGTAATGCACTTATATATCCTTTTTTGACCTATGGAATACGTATTTGGGGAAATACCTACAAGACCACTCTTCAACCAATTTTCATTTTACGAAAAAGAGCAATGCGATTAATTACCTTTTCTAGATTTGATGAGCACTCTAGTCCTTTATTTAAATCTCTTGAAATTATAAAATTCCTAGACCTAGTAACTTTTCATTTAGCAATCTTTATGTATAAATATCATAATCAATTATTGCCATCAGTCTTTAATTCTTTTTTTAGTAAAATTTCGCAAATCCATACCTATAATACAAGGCTTGGTGCAAAACAGTCTTATTATCTTCCAAAAGGAAGAACAGATTATGGTATATTCAGTATCAGATTTCCAGGTCCATCAATATGGAATTCCATTGACGAAGATATAAAATTATCTTCATCGTCTCTGTTTAAAAAGAAAGTGAAGCAGCAATTTATCAAAGATTACTAGACATCTGTGTTGTCTGTGTAACTTTAACATGGAAATAATGCTGTTTTGCAATGTATGAATTTTAGTCTCTTTAATATACTGGTAGTTTCTCTTTGTGTGCGTTTCTGTGTTTCTTTGTTTTTGTGTTCCTGACCTAAACATTTATACATCTTTTCTTTTAACTGGCTGCCTGGCATTTTTAACTCTTAGGTTATTTCGGGAAGCCAGTGCCCCTATCATTGTCTGTACTATTATTATGAATTTTTCTTTCTTGTATATTTTGGGGTGAAAAAAATAAAGTTGTTGTTGTAAAGTTGTTGTTGTTGTTCTCCACCTGGGCCAGAATCAATTATGGCAAACCAGGAGCCACTTGTACAAAGCACCGCTTTTACCTACCTTGGAAGTACTGTCTCGAACACTGCTAGAATAGACAAGGAGATTCGGAATAGAACGGGAAACGGAAGTGCTGCTTTTGGTAAACTCCAACACCGGCTGTGGAAAAACAAACACGTTTCCATCCGAGCGAAGTGCAAAGTCTGTAGAGCATTGGTACTATCAAGCCTCCTTTATGGAGCAGAGGTATGGACAATATACAGGTCACAGGTTAAGAAACCACAAACTACAAACTACATGCCTACATGATGAGACAGCTGAGAGACATCATGAACATCAAGTGGACCGATAAAATAGAAAATCAAGAAATCCTACGCCGCGCAGACCTGCCATGCATGACTGACATACTGACTGAGAAAAACCTTAAATGGATAAGACACGTGCACAGGATGGAAAACGATCGGTTCCCCCGACTAATACTCTACTCCCAGCTCTCTGAAGGAATCAGAAACAAGGGAAGACCTAGACTCAGATTCAAGGACGCAGCGAAACATACATACATACATACATACATACATACATACAAGCACACACACACACACACACACACACACACATACATACATACATACATACATACATACATACACACATACATACATACATACATACATACATACATATGTTAATTGACCACTCCCCATGGGGGCTTTTCAGGGTCAATTCCCACCCAGCTGCCACCCCAGGAGAGAACATCCATCACACAGTAATCTCGTGCGTGGGGAATTAACGTCTCCTACCCCTAACCCTGCAGGAGACGGGACTTCCATTTATTCGTCCCTATCCGAGAAGACTAGAGTATCTAACCATTTCTCTATATAGAAAGGTAGCATATTCTTCTCACTTGTTTTAAGACCTGGAGTGTTGGTCCGGCCGGGGCTCGAACCCTCGACCTCCCGCACAACAGTCCAGCGCTCTATCCAGAGAGCTAACTGGGAGGCGGTACGAAATATGAAATGGAGAGACATAGACCGAAAATCCTGGCAGACTACAGCCAATAACAGAACAGCATGGAGAAATGCTATCCGACCAAAGCCGAATCCATAGAACAGTCATAGTCGCATCCACTGACTGCAAGAGGTCTTCACAGTTTTTTTTCACTGTATAACCACTTGACCGATGGACTCTGAAGAGGAAGCTTTCTAGAGGACCTACCTTTGCATGGAATACAATAAGGTAACAAAAGTGGTACAACCATAACGTTCCTCTTCTCGTTTCCAACTCGTTATTCAGGAATCATCGGAGCTTCTGTTCACTTGTTATACACGCGGGCTCTTAATTTACTATAAATTTATTTGCTGTAATCTATACCATTTCATTACCATCACTTCCTTCTCTTTGATATGAAGTCCTATCTCTCTCTTTAATTCTTTTTTTCTTTTGCAGTAAATTCTCAAGATGGTGATAGTGTTTCACCGGTGACTCAGTTAGAATGGGAAACTCAAATTATTTGTTTGCTCAGTGTACTTGGGTGGCGTACATAGATTAAACAAAGAGATTTTTATCGAAGTGTGTCTCAGGCTTACATTGAGTGTGCTGAAAAGTACAACTTGCAGAACGCTGAGAGACTCACAAGGCAAACGGACGTAGTTGGTTAATTGTGATTTTAAAGTAAAACAACATTGTACAAATCTGCAACTGATGATCGGGTATTTCTTTTTTTTTTTACGTTATGTGGTCTACATATATATATTGCATTTACAAATTCTTTTCACAACATGAAGAGCCTCCGTTTTAGAACTACAAGCACTGAAATTGCGTGATCGGCGCCCAAAATTATGCTTAATATGCTATTACACATGAGATATATGTCAGAATTAAACTGTTTTTCACCTCCCTACTGATCATTATCCATCCTGGGATTCCTTTGAAAAGAGCAGTGCCTTAACAGATAGTGTGTTGCTTTATGGCGATACATTAGGCGAATTTAAAAATTCGGGTATACAGTTATGATCTAATTTTGTACGACTGAGTCTTAATTAATTGAGTCCAAAACACTTCAGCTTTCCAAGGGTGTGGTATCCCCTGTCATTGCTTGAATAGCCTGTATCTCCAAACCTTAGTTGCTTTACAGGAAGCCTGGACTTGTCCGTGAGTAAACCACTGTCGTTTCGCCATTGGTTGTCATTTTTGTCGCAATTGCATTTGTCCTGAGGGTCTGCACATGTATTGGTCAAGCCACATGCGCATTTGTAATCAATAGAATCAACTCCTCCCCAGTACTTCATCTTCTCTCCATCACGTGACACCCACCAGCCGTGATCCTTGCGAAAGAGCCTTGAATCATAGCACTCGTACATTATAAACTGCTCACAGTGAGCAGATGAGGCTGTTAGACTTGCCAGCTGACGAAGATTTGTTTCATGGTAAGTGACATTGCGCAAATAACTTCCAGGTTCCTTAAACCCATCCACCAGTGTTCTGCTTTCACTGTCATGACTGACAACTGGCACTCCAACACCATCTTTATCAGTCATATCACAGTAGACTCTGAAAGGTTGCACTTTACCATTTCCATCAGGGTCGATGAGGTAATCACCATTTTGGGCCTTAGGGTGGGAGCGTTTGATGTCACTGCAGGTTCTTCCTGAGAAACAAACAGACACAGAAAAACGACTTTTTTTCAAGAATTATTATCTCCGTTCTAAACAGAAGAGAGAACGATGACAAAAGAAACCGTTCGAGAGATTATGCAATTTGATTTCCCATAAGGTTTAACGCCAAAAGTGATGAGGTACAAAGACAAAAGTGACCCAGTGCAACTGATCTTTGCTGGGAACGAGACGACTGGTAACCCTCAACACTAGCCTAACAGCGTACGGCTAATTCATCAAATGCAGCTCTCGGCTAAGATTGAATTTTCTTTTCAAACTACAAAATGACATTTGTCATGAGAAATCGTTCCACTGTCCATGTACCTTCTCTGTCACAGTTAATGCCATGGAATCCAGGCTTACACCCACAGCGGTAGGAGTTCCATTGGTACTCAGGAACACAGATATCACTGTTCTTGCATGGAGTGCTTTCACATGGTGACTTGATTGAAAAAAAAGAAAAAATTAAAGAATTGAACACTAAATATACTAGTAATGATTGAACTCAGCTATTTTGCTGGATCTTAATTGAGTAACTTGCTTTAAGGTAGAAGAGAACTCATCTACTTCACGCGGTAAGTTCGTAGATACTTACCGTTGGGCTAAAGTGATGGAAGGTGTTATTTCCATGAAGCTTGTCGGTCACTCTGTACTTGTCAGTGGCCAACAACTCGCACAGATGAAGACCACTGGAATCAGGATTGGCAGCGATGTTAAACGAATAACACTTTGGCTCACCAACACAAAGACAAGTGCAGGACAGCTTATCTTCCACCATGGAAGATGATAGTTTTCCTTCCCATAAGTAATGAAAGAGATCGCACTTGAATTTACCAAACGAAGCACGCCCTGTTGGATATCGATAGAGTGCGCTGTTTTGCATGGCAAACATCAACTTCAGCAACAAAGGAAAAAACAACAAGAGTGGCAGAAGCAGCATTATAGTGGCTAGTGGACTGTCAACATCTGAATGAGTTGCTTTTGGATATGGAATAATTACACCTTAAATGTTAAATGTTCAAATATGGTATTTGTCTGTTTATGTAAATCTACTAAGGGAGCAGGTGCAACTCGTGGGTTGAGATGTGGAATGTTTCCAGAATAAAAAAAAAACACCTGATGTAATATGCTATTACGAAATGTATAATATGCTATTGCGAAAGATGCCTAAGAGTTGCTCGAGGCGTATTGCCGTGAGTGGTTTTGCCGGGCTTTTTATCAGCCCCGATATAGTTAAATAGCGATCATATAAGTAATGTCTATCCGGCGGTATTCAAGTCAAAATTAACTTGCCAATTCTCTTCTTTCGTTGTACAAAACTTTGTACCGGCAATGATAAAGAACATACAATCGAATTACACAGTTTATAACATAGCCGGTAAAATTTTGCATCCGAATTCCGACGCGAATAACGACAACACTATCTTAGAAGTGTTTGTTCAGTGAAGCGAATCGTGACGGCGCTGATGCCGAGTCCCGTTTCCCGTTGTTTTTCTCTTTTTCTACCTCAGTTAAGAACTCTAGTCAAAGGAAAAAGGTCGCCAAATTGTCTTCGTTTTGGGACTGGTGGGCCGAGGCTGTATTTTTATTCATTATTGTCGGGAAATATAATATTTTTCTCCGTGTTCACAAATTCGCCGCTCGCGCAAAAAAAAATTTCTGGCGAAGCCATTTGCGCGCGCCAACAGCGTGCGCTATCGAGATCTACCTACTTTTTCATAGAAAATGGATTTAACTTTCGAGAAAGAACCCAGAAAAGGGAAAACAAAACAATCGACGGTTTCATCTTGTTTCCCAACTCTAACTTCATTTCCACACATGAATTCACCTGTCACTTTTTCCCCAATCTGAGACAAGATCATTGAAGCATAGCGAAATACTTTTCCGAAACAAAATAAATAACACATTGAAGCGTGGGATAGGGAATTTCTGCCCATTATACAAAAACTACAGCGTTGAAAATGTTATAAAACAATTGGTTCATACGTCAGCTGTGCGTTCATCGAGATATGAAGCACTTGGGAAGTTTGGAGAGCACTCAAGAAGCTAGAGTTGCTCTCGGCTACGCCTCGAGCAACTCTTA